AAGGTGCAAAAGATGATGTAGCTGCGAGGATTCTATTATCAATCGATCAATTTTCTTTTCTTCTCGTCTCTTTCCTACTTCCCTATTTCCATTCAGCGGTATACGTGAATGCCGTGGCAGCACGGACGGATTCAACCGCGAGCGCCAGGTTTCTCCCTTCAAAGAGAAACAGGGGATGGGTATGCAGGGAGAGAATGTGTGAGAGAGGAAAGAGGGAAGGAGAATGCGCAAGCAACACAGTGAGCGCGCGCGCGCGAGAGAGAGAGAGAGGTTGGAGCGGGAGGAAGCGGGGGAGGTGGTAGCGCGCGCCCGAGATGAAGGGGAGAGTGAGAAGCGAGAAGGAAAGATGCTGACCACCATAGTAACGAATCTCGACGAGCTCATTTCTCCTTCAACCTTTTAACTCACGCTGTAAGCCACGCGACGTCATTAGCGCGACAGCGTTCGCGTCTGCATGCACGCACGACTTTGGCGGCGAAATTTGCCGTGCACGGACTCGGAAAAAAACGCAGTAGTAATATTATTGTTTGATAAAAAAAAGATCTCGCCAATTAAGCTGTAAAGGCCGACTCAACGATGAAATTGTTGGCTTTCGACTAAGTGTACTGAAGCAAATGATGAAGTATATCGTAACGCTCCATTATCTAAAGATCACCTGGGAGCAAATTGGGAAAATAAGAAGTTCTTGAGGTGCCTCTCCCTGCTTATTATATTGAGGCTTAATCCATTGCTATACTTATTGAATCAGCCTATAGCGGCCTAAACTACATTTACTCACTAAAATTACACGAAAATTGCCCATCGTCCTTCATAGATAGCGGCTGTTAAAGTTAATAAATTTGAGTAATTAACTGAAAAACTGGTAAAAAGTTCGAACTTGATGAATGTTGATAGTTTTAATGTTAGTGAGTAGTGGTCTAGTAGATAGCAGACTTGTTAAAGAATCTGTGGTTCGACCTTCATCCGCGGTCACTGATGTTGTGTCCCGATTTGATTCAATCAGAATGTAGAAATGGGGTCATCTTGCTAGTGCAAGGTTAACAGCAAGAGCCATATAATAACAAGAGTTATGCTGAATAAAGTTCGGTGCAGAAAATAAAGCAGTAAAGTTGCTGCAGGCCTATGCTGCACGATTTAAAAACAAGGTTTAAAGTTTTAATGAGTGGATAACCAAAGACGCGCGTATTCGATGTTTAATCCATGTCTCGCGTTTTCGGTGACTACGATGATCGGGTATTTTCGGCACGTTGATCCCGCGAGATCCCGCGCGACGCGTTGAATTAGTGGCTACTTATCACAGACCTACTAATCACGGTGTGTTGATCTCTCCGTGACGTTACATGTAAACGCAAGCGGAGAAACCTGGCCCGGGGGTATAGTAGTACACCGGGTGATGATGTATAGTCGATGATGAGGGTTTCTCGAGTAGCCAGTACCGGACCTTTACACAGTTCACACTGGGAGGTATAGCCTTCATGTTACATATAGAGATGAACGAATAGCTGCGGTAGAAAGGGAGATTGATAACGGGGTAAAATAAGAGAGAGAGAATGAATGAAGAGGAAGAGAGGGGGGTGGAGAGGGAAAAAGAGAAAGAGAAACAGAAAGGCGGAGACAGAGAGAGAGAGAGAGAGAGATAGAAATGCAGAGCGATTGTAGGTCAGGTTAATCGGTAATACCACTATATATATCACGGCAGAACACGTGAACTCCTGTATCACTGTCATACGTTTATTGGCACAGCTTACACAGTCCAGTTTGTTTCACAACAGTAAGCAATGGATTTCTTTCCCGACGCTAACCACGACACGAGCTTTCGCTTCCGCGTGCCCCGCTCGCGCCCCTCACTCATTACAGCGCCCGAAATCAACAGCAAAATTATATACGTGTCGCCGCCCCGGCTCGACAGTCACCATAATCTACAACGACGTCTAATTACTGGCATCTTAGAGGCAGGAGCTTGCGTGACTCATGTTACCTTGTGGATACGTTAATACGCACAGGGTACGTTTCGTGCGATGATCATCATCCGCGTGCGTAACAACGCGCGCGACTGAGCGAGCGAACAAGGGATGAGAGAGACAGGAGAGAGAGAGAGAGAGAGAGAAGAGAGAGAGAGAGAGAGAGAGAGAGAGAGAGAGAGAGAGAGAGGAGAGAGAGAGAGAGAGAGAAGAGAGGATAGGGAGAGAGAGAGATGAAAGAACGAGTGGCGAGAAGAGGCAGGGATTATACAGCCGCGCTTGGAATGCACGTTCGCCGTGTTCACTCTTCCCGGCGGACGCCGGCTAGACGTCGAAATTTAATAAAAAATAAATCCGACCATTCGTCATTTACGGCGCAACTCTCGCCGGAGAATCGCAGCGAGGCAGCAGGCTAAGCATTCCGCACGCGAGCGTGTACGAATAATGGCACGATGTATGAATAGCCGGAAAGATAGACGAATGAAGTCGCTCGCGTGGAAGAAAGAACCGCTATAGAGTGAGTCCATAAATCCGTCGTAAGCGCTAAACGCACATCACCTCGTTTCGTTTCGAGCACAAATGAGCATCGTAACGGAACCCTCGTCTGCGCCATAGATTACAGGTCCGGAGGATTAACATAACCGAATATATATACATATACATATATATATATATATATATATATATATATATTTATTTATTTATTTATACGGTCGTCATGCGCGGTTGCGGCGTGACGAGATGTGCGGCGGGCGGTGGCGGCGGGAAATGAAACGATGGCGTCTGCATGTTTGCGATAAACAGCTACGCTCTACATGCATGCGACCGACGATGACGATGACTGATCGCGTGAGGAATGATCGCGCTTCATTTCCGGACTTGACAGCATCGGTCATTCAACGATTTGCGAGCCAATGAAGATCTGCCTAGTGATGCTGCATGCGTGTATGTATATTATATAAATGTATATATATATATATACAGGATGCGCTATTCTATGGACAAACGAAGGCATGAAAGAGCGGTGAGCGGGAATAGTGTGAGGGATGTACTCGGTTGTAGGGGGCCTACTGCTGACTATCGCCTGTGGGAAAATATGAGGGCATTTTGTGGCGCACTTGCCAAGTGAACATAAATAATATAACGTCCATATATAAATCGTACACGAGCCTACTAGATTACATCGGATTTCCTCGCAATCACCACAGCAACCTCAGAGCTTCAACAAAATTCTGAACTGTGTGTATCATGTGGTTTATACGTACGGTTCTGCGGGGCAATATAGTACTTGTTCCACTTATCATGGTCTTTAGGAAGGCGCGCGCATGGCTTCCTAAAGCCTGCATGTATATCTTGTATTCACTCACGTTGATCCTATTTCTCCTATCACATAATATCGTAAAATCGGTTCATAATATACACATTATCACACACATATATATCTAGAACTAACAAATATCAAAGGCAATTCCGGTATATGTGTGTCGGAATTAGACGAGATACTACTGTCTGTCTATGCACGCGTGCGTGCGTGTGTGCATGCGTTCATGCGTGTGTACGCACGTGTGTGCATGCGTGTTTGCATGTTTTGTGTCATGTCAGGAAGCGAAGTGAATCGATTTGTCATATTTTTGTTTTTGTGCGATAATATTTAGCACTAATTGTATATATATATATATATAATTAGAGAGACAGACACGGGGAGGGAGAGAGAGGGGAAGGGAGGGAAAGAGAGAGAGAGAATTCCACCGCCTTGCGTTAGAAAACACAAGACGTGCTGTATTGGAGTCCAAAGAATAGCTGAATGACATTCTTCTGCGTACGTAATGATAAAGATTGAACATCATCAGGGCTGTTAGTATTAGATTTCGAAAACTAACATTAGGCTAGTTACCATACGAACACATACACGTTGTGCTCTAAGTCTAGCCAGATTCATGATATGAACTGCAAAAACGACATAGCTTGTATAACACCGACGAACATTAACCGACAATATCTGAATATACATATAACAAACTCGTATTTATACAACAACGTACACGTATTTACACGATGTCTTTTTATCGGTTTTATATTTTGGCTGAGCAAGCATTGAAGTTTTGTGCGGACACGAAAGCTAATATATAATAACAACATTTATATTAATATATGACAATAGCATATATTCGCACGATGTTACATTGACGTAATCTACACCTAAATATATTTGTTTTTGTTATGATGCGTGTACGTGTGCGCGCGTGCACGCGTGTGTGTGCGCGCGTTAGTGTGTGCGTGTGGGTACGTGCGTGTGTTCACATGCGCACGAGTGAGTACGTGTCTGCGCTTTGCACACATAAATGCGTGTGATTTTTATTATGAAATGCGTGCGGGCACGATTACGGGTATGTATACGCTGCGTGCGCGCGCGTGTGTGTGTGTACACGCCTTAGTGTACGCGTGCTTCGAGCAACCCTTGTATTACTAGAACACTGTGTACACCTCTCCGGCTTCTGTCTCATTTACTCGTTGGATGGTTATAATATATATATATATATATATATATATATATATATCAAGAGCTAATAAACACTTATGGTTACCTACCGCTGTTTATTAGCTCTTGATATATATATATATATACTAGTTATAAACGGATGGAGCAGGCAACGAACGACATGGGTTGCCACGGGTTGCTAGTATTTGCCAGTGGTTGTCAGCTGTTGCCAGTGGTTGCAAGCAGTAGCCAGTGGTTGTCAGTGGTTGTCAGCTCGCAATCCGGCATCTGATCGGGGTTCTCATTTCAAAAGCTGTTTACGGCACTTCGGAGCTTTTCGCGATAATTCGGCAAGGCTTCGTCGTAATTGGTCATTCCGAGGCTCAGCTCTGCGTTCAGGGCGGTCACGTGACAACCCACGATCGCTCCCGGCGACGCTAACCCTTTGTTTTGCGGGCTCTACGCTGGCACCGCCTGCCAAATTTGGTGATGCGCACTTGTTTTGTAGCCGTCCCGGGACGGCTGTCATGCACAGCGATGCTCATCTGTTTTCTGGGCACTCCGGCGCTGCCTGTTAGGAATGCGCTCTTGCGTTACTGCTGCTCGCATACACACGCAGCGATACCTACTTCTTCTGCAGCTGCAAGTTGTTATCGGCGTCGTCGCAAGCCACTCCAAGTTTGCGACGTTCAATTGTCTACCGAGCCGCTTGCGACGCGCCATCTGTCACACGGCCGTCGAGTGCGACTGCAGCACCTCCTCGGTCGGGTCGACGCACGACGAGTGCACCGTCTGGCGGCTGCTGCCGCCGACATGCGACAGCTGTAGACGCTTCGAGCACGAACGACTGCGCAGGATCGCGCGGAAGCCGAGTCGGTACTTTCGATTCAGGTACGCGTAGACGACCGGGTTGACGGAGCTGTTGGCGATGCCGAGCCAGAGCACGAACACCTGCACGTAGCGGTAGGCGTGCTTTCCCGCCTCCGACATCGTCGCGTACGGCACGGCGCCAAACATCGACAGCATGTAGAGCACGTGCAGCGGCAGCCAGGAGAGCGCGAACATGCAGACGACGATGAGCACCATCTTGGCGACCTTCACCTTCTGCTTGCTCGCCAGCTTGTCGTAGTAGCGCGCCGTCGTCGCGTCGCCGGGAATCTCGCGCCGCCAGACGCGCGCGAAGATCATCATGTACGTACCGGAGATGATGAGCAGCGGCAGGAAGTAGGTGGCGAAGAACGTCACGAACAGATAGTGCAGCGTACGAGCGAGCGGGCTCGGCCACCAGTCGCGACACTGCTCGATGTCGGGCAGCCGCTGCGGGTAGGGCGTGAAGAGGTGATAGTAGACGAGCCACGGCACGAAGGCGGCGCACGAGTAGATCCACGTGCAGACGATGACGCGGCGCGCGATCTGCAGCGACATCTGGTAGCGGATCGGGTAACAAATGGCGAAGTACCTGTGCCCGAAAAAAGAAGGATATGACGATTGGGAAATTTTGTCGAATGTCTGTTTGAAAGCGTTCAAGCGGAGATTTCGTCGCGAAAGCGACATGCAATATCACAGCCAATTGGGAACATCTATAGAAAGAAATACTAATAGTGGCCAGCTAATGCGTTTATATAATCTATGCCTAATAATAAGACGATTTATACGAGCTGCTCTACTACTGTTTCACTTCATCAGCGCACGCACGCCGCTGTCGCTCGCTATACAGCCACGCATGAATACCTATATGCACAATTCGCATTTCCCCGTTACGCCTATTACTTTATTTCCTGACATATCTCAGGATTTTTCTGCAAGAGACACGACAGGAAAAAATCTCTACGATCGACAGCGAATCTCGCTACGTAATCGGATGGGCGTAATACGTGCACTGCTTGCAATCGGCAACGTGCGACGCGCAGGGAGTTTTTATTTTATTTTCTTCAACCGGATACGCGCGCGCGCGACGTAAATATATCGTCTACTGATTATACACGGAGCGCTGCGGCGTAAATGCGACAACGGTCGCGTAATGGCTGTTCATTAAAGTCCAATTATCGCGATCGAGACGGTCGACGTCGCCAAGAACGTAACGCAAAACGCGACTATTACAACATAATTAGCGTAATCCATCGCGCGATCTTTCCCCGGCTTCTCGATTCGCGCGATGACGTCATCGCCGAGCGGCGAATCATCGTTGCGCTTTCACTCGATGTTAATTTCATTCCCTCGAAGGAAAGTCTGCGTTCGCTTTACCTGCGCGTAGCCCCTCGGGAGTCTGCGCCGAAGCGAACGGCTGCACAAGACCCGCATCTGCGCCGGAGCATAAGATGTCCGACTTCGACGATAAACCGCTGAATATTAGGAATCGAATAATTCCGTTTACCTCTCGAGGGATATCGCCGCTAGCGTTGTCACGGATACCGACACGGAGACGCCCTGCAGCCACGTGACGACCTTGCAGACGAACAGACCTAGAATGTAATCTGCAAACACGAAGGAAACGATAGAATCGGCTCGCACCGAGCTAAGCTGCAATGCCATCTACGAGTAATCATTAGATTACACGGTCCCGCTATGATTACACGGTAGGAAAGATAATCAGAAATATAATCATTTCCTAAATCAACCGCTTATGCGAAGGACGCCGCGGGCCCGTGACGTAAATAGTACAAATGAACGGTAATTAAGCTGGTAATTAACCACGCGCTGTAGAGTTTGAAAAGCCCATAGGATATTGCGAAATGGAAACACTATATGGACGGTAATTATCCGAGAGTGTGATTATCGGACGTGTCGCTGTTTTTAGAATTATTATTAAAATTTAAAGATTTTCGAACCTCGAATTATGAAGCGTAATCAAAAAGATAACGACTAAAAAATCCGTCACTTCTAAAAAACCTATTTCAAATAACAAAAAATCTACCTATTCGATAAACATATTATATCTATTAATAAAAGATCGTCAACAAAATCTACTTAGCTTTTTTCTCATATTCACTTAGTGTCTAGTTTGTGTCACAGCCTCATTTTTAAGGAGACAGCTTTCAAAATAATACAATATACTTTTTGAACTCTTCTGTCGAGTCCTTGCATTTGCTCTGCCGATGGGGCGTCGGGGTATATTCAACACAATGTAGCTGGTTGCCACCAGCTAGCCTCGGCAGTCTTATGTGTTATTGGAAGCAAACACTGGACAGGTATTGACATTCCTCGTAATGGCCTTACATGACAATTGTTTTCGACTCGCGCGAGAGGAGTTGCACAGTTGTTTCGATGACACGTTGCTTAGTATACCTATAGGCATAAGGAGCGAGATTGTTTCTCGTTAATTAATGTATGATACCAGCATTGGTTGATGCGGTTTAACAGTTTTCTATTACCCAACTTTGAAAACTCATTGTCTGTCATTATTGAAAAAGTCAAGGGTAGCACGAATTAAAAGTATTCCTACACTGACCTACCCCCGCTATGGATGGTTTCCTCACTTTATGAGGCGATATGATGTAAAGTGAATTTCTTCGTAACATTAATTACCCTTAGTCGTCACCTTTCCTATTATGTCATAAAGATATATACACCCCGCTATTACGTGACAGCGGCCGTCGACGTCAACCGCGTCATCGGCACCACGCGACACATTAATTACGATGCGACAGCGCGACACAGCTTCGGGACGCTAGTGTAGTTATGCCGCCAATCGCGTCATTAGAATCGCGCTCGTAACTACAGCGTGTCCATGTCCCGCGGGCGATAACGAACGGTTCTTGACATTCTGTTTGCACGAGATGCGTACGGAGAGTACATGTTCATGTGATACCCTCCCGCGCTGTGTCAACACTTAATCGCCGGACAGCAGTGAATCACTCTCCGGCGCACACTGAATTCCCATTACACGATCGTCTATAGACACGCGCGCCGACGTATCACATGGGCTTGCACTCCGCCGGTGAATGGCTGGCAATACAAATCAGTGAGCCACTCGTATTCTGTCCGGACGAACATTACTGCGCATCCGTATATGACAGAGCTGCAGCTTTATGGGTCTCATTATCTCACAGCTTCCACCTTCGGCGTGCCCTTCTTCTTTTCATCCTCTTCCTCGTCGTCGTCGTCGTCCTCTCCCCTCCTCTCTCACTCTCTCTCTCTCTCTCTCTCTCTCTTTACTTTCTCTCCCTCTCCAGCTATATATATATATATATATACTTCGCTCTCATTGCCTTCTCTCTCTCACTTTTACTATATCACTGTCTTAAAAATTTATTACATTTCCCACTGGTACATTAACATCTATTGCAGTATGGAGCCAACACGTCGCCAACACACGTACACAGTACTATCGACAGTCAGCATGAGGCGTAACATTACATCTGATGTGAAGCCACTCCCATGACAACTTTCACCTAGCTCACAAAACAACCAGCCAGCAGTAGTTTCATTAGGTGTGACTTGATCGAATTTTTCTGCCAACTTCACCTAGCTCACAGAACAACCAGCCAAGCCAGCAGGGTTTCAATAAGTGTGATTTAATGCTATTTCCTTGCTAAGATGCGCATATAGCTTACTGCAGAACCGGCCTGTTCTGCTAGCATCTATGACAAATACGATATATGCATATACGCTCTCCTATGACACTATTTGTCATAGGAAGATTCTTCCTATGACAAATATTGTTGTATGTGTTGTGTTGTGCGCATCATTGGAGTTTAGGAGCGCTATTATAAACGCAAGCAGTGAATTTCAGCTGTAAAGCGGAACAAAGTTGACTCGCCAATATTTGTCATAGGAAGAATCTTCTTATGACAAATAGTGTCATAGGAGAGCGTATATGCGTATGTCGTATTTGTCATAGATGCACAAGCAGAACATGTTGGCAGAACACACCCATAACCAGCTAGGAGGATTAAAATTAGGTAGGACGTGATATGATGTAATCAGTAATTCGTTAAGTGATTACGATGTAATCAGTTATTCTTCGGCAATACAACATACGCACGCAGAAGCCATATGAAACCAATGTAGCGTGGTATACATCCTCTTATAGCAAACGTCCCTTCACACTTCAAATGGCCAATAAAGGTCGAAATCCCTATTTGCATGCCCAATGCGTTCTGCTAAACCTACGCACGCCTATGCACAATGTAGAAAGGGACCCGTTTGCCACACCGGGTGTGTGTGTGGGGGGGGAGGGTATACCATGTTAGATCGGCGTCCTCGCATTGCTTACCGAAGAAGACGTTCTGTATGAAGTTGACGGGCAGGCAGAACATAAGCACGAGCACGTCGGCGAACGCCAGGTTGGCGATGAAGAAGTGCGTCGCGCACCACATCTGCGGCGTGCGCGCGACGACGGCGATCACGAAGCAGTTGCCGACGATACCGACGACGAAGACGAGCGCGTAGGCGACGCCGATCACGCCCACTTCCGGCTTGGAGAAGGTCAGCGTCGCGATGCTGTCGGCGTACGACACGTTCGGGTCGAGGTAGCCGACATCCGGGTCGGGCTGCGCGTAGCCGCTGGTGGCGTCCTCTGGCGTGCTGTCCATCTGGCGCGTCTGAGAGAAAAGGAGGAAGCGAGAATTACGAGGTGTGTGTGTGTGTGTGTGTGTGTGTGTGTGTGTGTGTGTGTGTGTGTGTGTGTGTGTGTGTGTGTGTGTGTGTGTTTGTGTGTGTGTGTAAATGTGCAGCAGCGTGCGTGTGGCGTGACTATAGGCTGAATTGCTCGAAGTACATGCCTGTGCTTAACACAGACTCGGTGGCGAATCATTGGCGATCATCCATACATAGGTCTACTACATATTGCGACCTTTAGCGGCCCAGCGTAGTTTAAATTAGGCGTGCTGAGGAGGGCCCGATAGAACAACTACATAAGCCTTAAAAGATAACTAAGTCTTTCTAGGCATTTCTATAATACAAATATACAAGTGAATTGATTTTTTTATTAATTTTGAACACGACTGTGTGACATTCACAATGTTGAGGTGCCAATATTGCACGCATCCATGTGCACGAACGCGTACTTTCTGAATTTTAGATTGCTACTGAAGCATCCTTACAAATAATCGCCGAGTAGCACATTCAAAACACTATGCAAATAGTAGTATAAGCTAGCACTCGCGTGGCTAGCTATAGTAAACAATCCAATTACAAACACCACATCTTATCAGGTGTTACCAAAATAGTTTTTTCGATTTATATACTTTAAATGTTATCATGCATGCAGTTATTACACCCCCATGTTTGCACGCACCGTGGAGAGTCGTTATCTCTGTAGTGAGAAGTTCTACCACAAATAGAATAAAATTCCAATAAATTTTCTATCTATCTATCTATCTATCTTTCTCTCTCTCTCTCTCTCTCTCTCTCTCTCTCTCTCTCTCTCTCTCTCTCTCTCTCTCTCTCTCT